ATATTTGTAAATAAAAAAAAAAAAAAAAAAGAAAGCAGCTCTTACTTGAATGTTGCTCAATTTGTCCAAAATACGACTTGCAAGCTTAGGACCATTCTCCATAGTTGGAATGTGTATGGTCTGTGAAAGAAAAAGACGCATGAGGTAAGTTGAGAGTTTCCTTGTATATAGTGAGAAAAGTAAGATACTTGGCAATTCTAAGGTAGTAAGGCAATTTCACTTTAATAAGAAATAGCACTATGATAACCTATCGATTATACATGCTAGCTCCTTGTAGCTAATGTGCTTTTCTATTTTGAATTTGAATAAAAACTAACTAGCCAATAGCAGACTGTTCATTGCCTAGAACTGGTGTTAGGGTACAACTGGCTGATTTGAGGAACCAATGAGAAGCCAACAATACCTAAAATAGCAATTAAATGTTAAGAACTCTATATGTCTGGGATTCTGAGAATCTGTATGGATAAAGGATTACCTTCCATATATTTTATCTGGGGATAAGATCTCAGAAGTATTTGGGCACAAATTAAAGCAAGTTATTTTCTGGGTAAATATAAAGTCTATGCCTTGACAAAAATGGCTTCTAAAACTGTTCCAAGCCAAACCTCCCAAGGCCACAACTTCCACAATATAGGATAAAAACAAAAACCAAACCCATTGCTGTCAAGTTGATTCTAACTCATAATGACCCTACAAGACAGAGTGAAACTGCTCCATAGGGTTTACTATTATAAATCTTTGTGTAAGCAGATTGCCACATCCTTCTATGCAGCAGTTGATGGATTTGAACTGTCTACCTTACAGTTAGCAGCCGAGTGCTTCAACCACCATACCACCAGGCCTCACAATATAGGATAACATGATTAAATTCATGGCAGGGAAAGATTTCTTTATTTATATATGAGCCATGCCTATTCATACTTTGCTGGTTTGCACAGTTTTTGATAGTTTGATTTTAGTAGATACACTTTGCTCTCAAACAAATTTCTTGTGACTTGTAGAATAATTTTGGCTCTGAATTGCCCCCAAAAATAAGACTGTCAAAACTGTTAAACTTTATAATGTTCATATTTCTATAGGTGGAAGAATAATTGGACTTCAAAAAAATAAATAAATAAAACTAACATAATGCCACTCCTTGGAAGTAAGGTTGGGCAACAACTTCCGTAGTGATACTACCTCAGAAACCCAAGGAGGGGTCGCTATGAGTCAGGTCTGACTCGAGGGCAGATAACAACAATAATAAGTAGTCTATAAGAAAGTAGACCAGTAATATGTTATATTGATAAAACCACAATCAAATACTAATAAGTAGTTTTATCATCAGTTACAGTATTGTTGTAATATAAAATAATTCTTTCCTTTATGAAACAATAATATATTGGTACACCTTCTGTATATAGAATTAAGCCGGGAGTCAGTCTTTAAAAGCAAGTTTTACTCAAGAAATGAAACAGCCACTATTAAAGTCAGTAGAAAAATCAATCCAATCAACTGAGAAAAATTATAATATAGAATTTAAAAACCAACAGAATTTCTATTTAATGAGTAATCTAAGCAAATTCACATTTAACAGTAAAACATGCCTTGAAGCTAAAAAGTTAGATGCTTATTTTAATTATGAGTATCAGAGCTTTGCAATTGGGCAAAGCAAAAAGAAAAAGAAAATTTAAAAAAGACAGAAAATGGAAGTATAACAAAATCAAATTGATTTATGGGTGGAGGAAATTTCTTCCCTTTGAATTCCTTTTGGAATATTTTAATAAATGCACATGGTCTACAAAATGAGTTTTCCATAAATATTTGCCATTATTATTCTAGTAGTTCAGAAGTACTTTAGGAAACCACAAACTTATTACCTGTAAGAGTCTTCCTTAGTGAACTGGTAGAAAGAAATAAGAGTGGAAATGTACTTGTACATCTCTAATTACCATGTTGACTTAAGATAAATATGATATTTGCCCAAGGACAAAACTGACTTCCCACCATGTTTGAGCTTACACACAATCACTGGAAAGATAGTAGGAAGTAATTTGCTAATACAAATTATCTGGACGAATTGCCCCAGCTAGTGGAATGTCAAGTTACAACAAACTCCTTTGCATCCTGAGTCTAACAAGAATTTAGTCCACATGGTTTAAAAAAATTAATTAAATTACAAGTAAATCTTTGGAAATGACAGGAAATGAGGAAACACTTTCTTACCTCACTCTTGTATAATATATCAGAAACTGGGCAAACAACACAGGCTGTACCAGAGCCAAACATCTCTCTCACTCTGTTCTCCTCTAGGGCAGTGATCAAGTCATCCATGGTGAGGTACCTCTCGGATACCTTAAATTCACCCTGTTTAAATTACAAAAAAATATAAACAAAAATATTCCAAAGGAAAAGACATGTAAAACAACCAGTGATACTTATTTTCCACTTTACTTTCTGACTGAACTCAGATAATGTCATAACTGTCTTTACAGGTAAAACTAGAAAGGACAATACCATCTTAATGTGAATGTAGAAGTGTTAAGCCATCTACTCCAAGGTCACAGGAATTCTAAATGAGATTACCAGAATATAAAATACAAGATGATCACTACAGAATATAGTGTATATTTTAATATAGAGTACCAGTTTTTTTTTGCCTTTTATTTGTTATCATGGATAAAATCTCAGATTGCAGCACCCTGAAAAATGTCTTAAATTTTATTTTATCATAATGGAGAATAACATTGTATTGTATATTATGATAATAATTTTATTGTTATTTATTATTATCAATAATATATTTTAACAATACATTATTATATTACAATAATAGTTATTACCAATATATTGATAATAGTTATAATTAATAATAATAATTAATAACATAATAATTATGTTAATAATTTTAGCTACCAGGTATCATGTACTAAGTTCTGTAAATCTTTAACATTAAGTATTATCATCCCCATTTTACAGTTGAGAAAACTAGGGTTCAGGATGGTTGAGTGATCTTCCAAGGTCAAGCAGCTAGTAAATGGCAGAAACTGGATTGGATCCAGATCTAATCTAACTGGCTTCACATATGATCCTTTTTCTACCATGTATTTTATGGAATAAACACAGACTGAATTCAATAATCTATAATATTCTATTATTTTTAAAGAGCTAAAAACCTGAGCTTTATTTGAGAAATCGCATTGTATATATTTTTTTTTTCCCCAAGTTGACTGATTTAATTAACTTTACAATGGTAATTTTCCTTCTCCTTTAGTTATCATATTAGGTTGAGTTTCACTGACTTCTGCTGAACTATTGAAACATTTTACTTGCTCATGATAGAAAATGGGGGGGAATCTGATACTTTTAAGCTATCTGTTTAATTCTCATTCTATTATTTCAGTGATTAAAGATCAAAGTTTGCCAACAGGCTATTTGAATTAAAGGCAACAGGAATGGAGATATATATGAGTATGTGTGTGTGTATTTTATACATACATACACACACACATATATTTAAATAAGATGAGAGTATTTTTAAAAAATATACAAACCCACAGTAGACAAAATGAAAATCACAGCCCTTGGCAAGATTCAAAACATTAGAAGAAAAATGCAGAATGCTTAAGTAGATTAGAAGGGTAGGAAAATAGTCTGCAATAGAAATGTGGCTCTTTGCAAGTTTTAATTTATCTCAGTTTACAATTACAATTGTTCTGTTCAAAACTTTAAAAAATAAATAAAGTTCAGAAAATCAGCCCAGTTAATTGAAAACAAGCTGAATTCTGTGTTCTTAGAGGGTGGGTGAATGGGGGAGCCTTATAAATAAACAGAATTGTTTTTATCCTGCTCACCCTTACTTATCTTTGGACAATTTCCCCTGTCTGGCAAGTAGTGGTAACCCCCCACATGCCTCTTGGCATTTTATGTCTCACTGTTTTAATATAGCTTTTAAAATAAATTACAGCTAAGGAGTCAAGAAAAAAACTTCCTCCATAATAACCTATTTTTCATACTAGCAAATCATTAGTGTGGTAAAGAATTTCCACTTGCAACTTGTCATCAAACCTTCTGTACTTGGTTGATTTTTTCTTTAATAAAACAAAAATTACTGAGCTTTAAAAATACATCTTTCCAACTGCAAACATATTTAGGACAGGGCAAGCTGTTTGAAATTATACCAACAGTTTGTAAATGTCATGCCCAATGTGCCAGCCAGCATGTGGCAGTTGGGTCTTGTCTACTTCAGGGTTTTGTAGGATTATTTATAGCACATTTCCTCTATTTTCAAGGTCTTTTCCAGAGAAACTGTGTTAGTACTCTCCTAGATAGATAATGTGTGTTGCTAAATATTTGTCCTGTAAGTACTGTTTGACCATAGTATGTTCAAAGCCTTTTCAAGTTCCTTGGAGACCATTTTAACACATGGGTCAAAAGTTCCATCCAAAAACCTCTGCCAGACAACCAACTCATTCAAAATTCATGTTGAGTATGCTATTTCATTTCCAATACCAAATGGTTTAATATGCTTGCCTGTGTCACATAGATTTGAAAGTCTACTGAAAACAACTTTAAATTTGCCTGAGTGTTTTGATTTTAAAATAAGTATGTATATGAATTTGGAAGGAACGGGGGAGAAAGAAGGCAGCCAAGCAAATAATGTTATGTTGGGAAACACTTATATCAACAAAATTCTTTAATTTCTATTAATGGCATGGCTGCACTGAGAAAAATAGAGGAAGGGAAGATGTATGGATCATTTCCGTTTGTAAACAATGCATTTAGTGTTGAAAAAATTAATATCTTGCACATAAAGTATAAACCAGGTGAGTTGGTAGTAGACACTTGGCATAAAGATTGAGACCAGTATTAAATAGTTTTTCACCACGACATCCTACCAAACTGGTTTCTCTCTGCCCTTCAGAATAAACACTTATTTGATAGTTTTACCAAGACAATTTTTCTAGAAGAGTTCTTTTTACTCAAAAGATTTAAAAATAAGATAACATCAGTTCGAACTACAGGGCATTATTTCAACAAGAAGCTGGCTTATTTTGATTACTTTTGGTTTCATGGTTATAAAAGTTGTTCATGTCAAAGGCACCCACCCACTTGTTTGCCAGCTCCAGAATGCTCTGCCTTGTCACTCCTGGAAGAATGATGCCATCTAGCGGAGGAGTTGCAAGTTCTTCTTCTGTCAATTAGAAATGGGATTATTTTCAAATTTTATATTAGCCACACCTTATATCAACAATCATTTAAAAAAACATTTCTAGCAACTTTGCTATAATAAACGCGAGGATGTTACTGTTCTGCATAGTCAGATTTCCCCAGTCAATTCACATATTAGGTAGATTCTTGTTTAAAAAAAAGAAAAGAAAAAGAAGACTACTAATAAAATTCAAAATTAAAAAAGAACAGACTAAGTGGTCTGAGAGAGAATGATAGAATCCCTGAGACTATGGCCCTTCAAACCTGGAACTGAACCAACTCCCAGAGATCACCTTTCAGCCAAATAATAGAGAGGCCTACAAAGTGAACAATAACCCATGAAGAATGTGTTCTTGAAACAAAACGCATATAAATTATTGAATGGGAAACGATTTTGCTCTATATACCTTTGCCAAAACTGCAATTAAATTTTCAAAAAACATTGAGGTCAGAGGAGCTGCTTACTTTGGGACTAAACCTCAACTTAGGGCTCCCAAGCCGTGCACCTTGATGGGCTTCCACTCAGTGCTCCCTGTTCCTGTATATGGTAGACCACTCTCGGCCAAGCTGCAGTAGGCCCTGATGGCCTTGATGGACCATGAGCACTGTTCCAGGTGGGACTGTTGGTGCCGCTCCATGAAGCACACCATAGTGTATGCCGGCAGGGACAGCCACTCAGGCTGCAATGGTGACTCTAAAGGATGCCTCAACTGCCCTGCTGCAGATAGCAGCTGGCAGGTCCATGGTGTAACCATCTTTGTTTCTGCTTTTGGCTGCAACACCTGCAAGAAGCCCTTGGTATTCATCCGAGTGTCAGCCTTTGATGAGTGGCTCAAGGTGACCATGGTGAGCCACTAGAACCAGGAAGTGGTTGGCAGTCATGATTCATGCCCTTCTGAAAGAATAAAGACCTCTCAGGGGACAGGAAAAAAAAATCTCTCTCTCAAAAAATAATATATGTGTTTCTAATCCATTAAATGGTATTTAAATATTTATTAAATATTCATTTAAATATTCTTAAATTTTCTTAGTAATGTTTCATAGTTTTAATATAAACTCTGTGATTTTAACCATTTTAACCATTTTCAAGTGTACAACTCAGCGGGCTTAATCACACTAATAATGTATATTTTTTATATGTAACTTCTCATAATTAATTCTATTAAATTTATTCTTACGTATTTTATGTTTTTCATGCTATTATAAAATGTACTTTAAAATTGTTATTTTTCAATTGTTTGTTGGTGGGGTATGGAAATATGGTTGACTTTTGTATATTGAGATTGAATCCTGTGACCTTACTAAATTCACTTATTAATTCTAGGGGGATTTTTCATGTATTTTTCAATTATGTAGCCTGTGGATAAAGACTGCTTTACTTCTTCATTTCTTTTCTTCTTTTTTTTTTTTTAAAGCTACTCTTTTAACCACTTTCAATTTATTACTAATCATTTATAACTAGTTAGTTTTTCACTAACAAAAATATATAGTTTTTCACTAACAAATGTTAAGCGATATAGAATACTCTTCAGGCAAAGATTTTCATCAAAACTCACCTCAGTGGGTATTATGAATTGAATTGTGTCCCTAAAAAAATATGTGTTGTAAATTCTAACTCCTATACCTGTGGTAAGGAGCTCTGGTAGTGTAGTGCCTAAGGCATCTGACTGCTAACCAGAAGCCTGGCGGTTCAAACCCACCAGCCACTCCTCAGAAGGAAGGTTGGGCAATCTACTTCCATAGTGATACTGCCTCAGAAACCCAAGGACGGGTCGCTATGAGTTGGGTCCCATTCGACAGCACACAACAACAACAACATACCTATGGTTATAATCCCATTTCAGAATGAGTTTTCTTTGTTAAGTTAATGAAAGAGTATTAGTGTAGAATATGTCTTAAATCAGTCTCTTTTGCGATAAAAGATCAGATTGAGCAAGTAACCAAACAAGCAAGCACCAACAGGAGAAGACGGAGGCCGTGCCACATGAGATCTCCAAGGAAGGAAGAAACAGAAGCTGAAAAAACACAAGTACCTTTCTTCAAGGCCAATGGACAGAAAAAGCCTTCCCCTACAGCCAGAGCCCTGAATTCAGACTTCTAGCGTCCTAAATTCTGAGAAAATAAATTTGTTTGTTAAAGTCACCCACTTGTGGTATTTCTGTTTTAGCAGCACTAGATTACTTAGACAGCAAGTAAAAGCTGGTTAATAATTAGAATATTGCAGATAGTCTTTTACTCAGAAACTCTAGTCATTATCATACCTCCTAAGAACACTGTGGAAGATCCTTCCCCCTAAAAGTGTGTATGCCCATGCAGGCTGGTTACCACTCCCACACGACCCTTCAATAAGTCTGTCTTCAGTGGTTCTCAAACTTGGTGGAGTACCAGCATCAAGTATGGAGATTGTGGATTCTGAGATTCAAATTCAGTGGGCTCAAGGTGAGAACAAGCATGTGTAGAGCTAGAACAAAAACAATAATCATTCCCTGGAAGATTCTGACAGAGAGCCAAGGTTGAGAGCCTGGTCCACAGTGAGAATGATCACAGCCACCCCTACCCCCCATGATGATTGGCATAATGACCCATCTATAGGAGTCAGAGTCATCTATCAACTGCATATGCTGTCCTTACAAAATCATGTCCTTGGTACTCAATACTCTCATTTTCTCTCCACTTCTGGCAATCAGGAAACGAGTCTAGTCAGAACTTCACACTTTAAATCCCCACCTTTTGAAGATGTTTAACCTTATAATAGATTACGTGTCATCTTTCAAGTGTGTGTAAAGGAACTCACAAGGTCTGCTTCAAAGGATCACCAAGTAGCAAAAACTCTATAGAAATCATACTGGTATCTTTGGGGTTTTCCAATCCATTTTATGCAGCTAAGAGAGAATTTAGAAAACATCTAGTGTAACTCTTATTTCACAAAAGAAACTGAGGCTCTATAAATGTGAATGACTTGCTAAGGTTGGTGGCATTAGGGGAAAGCCAGAGCCAGAGCTCAGGTGTCCTGCCTCTGAGACCACTGTCCTTTCTTCAGTATATAGTACTCCTAGTTTCAGCTCTTCCACTGTGGCTACGTCAGATGTCCCCAACAGCCAGGCTGTATCTGGAAGATTGAGGTTAAGCTGTATTCATCCCTGTATCCCCAAAATTCAGCACTGTGCCTGGCCCAGAGTAGTATGCAATAAATAATTTTGAATTTAAAAAATGAATGAATAATCCTCTTTGCTAGGAAACAGCAGTATGATTTTTTTTAAAAAAAATTTGTTTCTAAAAATCATCTGCTGGAAACTGCTCTCTGGAAAGAAAATTTTTCTTGGAAATGTTCTTAGGGCTACTTTTTGTCATGTTCAGAGTGTTGGCGATCTCAAAATAAATGTCTGTTTTGCAATAGTGAGCTTGCTAGATGGATCTATATGTATGTGAATATATGCATATATACACACAAACAGACATACATACTTCAAGTCCCTCCAAACTGGACCTTTCCTAAAGCTTGCCGAGCAATTAAGACCATATAAAGTTAAATGAAAACAGCAGTCCTGCATGTGCAAATGCTGTTTTGTGAAATATATTTAACACCAGTACTGTAACCACTAGCCTGAGGTCAAGGAACAGAACATCTGCTTCTCTGGTTGCCAGACAGAGATGATGACATGACAACATTTGGGTGAGAAATATTCATTTTCCTCTGCAACCACAAACATGCTCACAAGAGCCAGAACTAGCTACAGATTGCCCAACATGAGGAAAACAGAACCTACAAACGCAGCTTGTTTTTGACAAAGAAATCATTTTGAGGAGATGAAGAATTTAGAAGCAATAATAGCAGGATTCATTTGTGACTTCCCAAGGTCAAGCACTAAAAAAGAAATCAGTAGGAACCAGGAATGTAAGTTTTCCTTAGTGTCCTAAACATCATAAGTAGTAGAATTATTCATTTAGTCAACAGACATATATTGTGTGCCTGCTATGTGCTATTTGTTATTATAAACGCTTGGATACAGCAGTCAAGAAAACTGATATAACTCCTATGGCATACATTCTAGTAGGCAGAAACAGTTATTGTATTAAATAGTATGTTAGACTGTTGTTGTTGCCATCAAGTCAATTCTGACTTGTTACCACCCAAGTAGAACTGTTGTATGGGGTTTTCAAGGCTGTGACCTTATGGAAGCAGATTGCCAGGCATTATTTCCAAGGGACCTCTGGGTGGGTCTGAACTGCCAATATTTCTGTTAGTAATCAAGCACTTAACTGTTAGCTCACTGAGGGACTCCTATGTCTCCTATGTTAGACTATGGAGGAAAACCAATAACAACATCACAGAGGAGGCAATGGGAAGCAGTGTGTGTCATGTCCATGTGTGTGTAGAACTTACAATTTTCAATAGGGTGATCAAAGAAGGCCTTACTGAGAATGGGATATGTGAGAAAAGACTTAAAGGGGGTGACACAGTGATCCCTGTAGGCATCTGAGGGAAGAGGGCTCCAAGCAGAGTCAAGAAAAATGCCTGATGTGGCTGGGAAGGCTCACCACTCAAGGGTGATCATTCAAACTGATTGTGAACTTAACCACAAGGGCAGGGTCTTATTCTTCAGGGTATCTCCAGTGTCCAAGACACCATAACATTGTTTATTCCAATGATGAATCACAACTATATATGCCAAATTACTCATCAACAGAGTAGAAAAGAGAATCAAGTGTGTGATCTTACCACCATCGTTGCTCTTACTAAAATCAAGAGAATTAGAGGCCCAAGTGTCACAAACAGTTATTGTGGATAACACCATGCTTTAAACACACATTATCTATCTTATCTACTTTTCTGGTTCAAAAGGAGGAATGTGGATATTCATGGAAAGTTGGTAATATATTACTGAAAAACTCTGCTTATACATCCTGTTGGTAGTTTGTAAAAATCAATACTTTGCTAATTTTCAATTCATTATGATTTGTATTTTCCTAAAGGCAAGTGGTGTAAATCAAACTTAAGACAGAGTTGCTTCAATCTTGTTATATTAGCCTATAGGTTACTCTTGACATTCTGTACATTCCTGCAGTGAATTGCTTGATGTGGCCCTTCTAGCCATTTTCCTCCATTTTGTGATGTATTGTAAATCCTATTATCCATGCCTGTTTGGGGTTGTGTGGTAGTTAAGACTGGGTGTCAACTTGTCTGGGCAGCTGGTAGTAGCAGTTCCCTATAATGACTGGCAATCGGCTCTGTGGTGGGATTTGCAACTGAGTAGCTGCTGATTGTTAAAGCCATCCACTTGGGTTTTTTCTGTTGGAGCAACACAGGGGAACACATCTTGAGTCCCACCTTGCTGGAGGGTATAACTCAAATCACCACCCTCAGCTTCCTTGATGGTATACCCATGGATACTCTGGGACGGTTTGTCCTCTTCTTGCTCCAGTTCTGTGTTTTGGCTCCTCTCATCTCACCCCTGGATTTGGGACATCAGCCGTCATGATCTGCTGATCGAAGTTTGTCAAATCCTGAGAGGTGGAGGATCCTCCAGACCTACTTACAGGTCTGGGACTCACCAGCCTGCCAGCCTCCACCACTACTACATGAGATGATCCCTTGGGTGTCTGTGAGTTCTGTGAGGCATTACAGTGAAATATAGAACCCTAAGAGAGGGGAGATTACTGAGAGGAGGAAAAGTTAATGTTAGAAATGATGGAGTGGCACAGTAGTTTGAACATTTGGGACATCTTTAACCTCCGCCGCAGGGGGACTGGCCTTGTGCTGATCTTTCTAAGAGAAATTGTTCAAACAACTTCTTAATAGTATTGCTCAAACATTTTTTCCATACATCCTTTCTCCTTACTTAAAATTTTATTTGGTCTGTTACTAGAACATCTCCAAATTGAAATACGACATTAAAATCATGGCTCAAGTTATCTCAGGTGACCATGATGTAAATAGTAACCCTTAAAGTCTAGTGTACTTTGAAAGGAAGAGAAATTCATTCATTTCATTCTGACATTTAAAAGCCATGGTGGAAAGGTTCCATGGTCACTGTTTGGATCAAGGGCAATTTTTCATCAGGACAGTTTCTGATGTTATTAGTTAAATCATGTGGCTCTGATTCTGACTATGCTTAAACCCTGATGTTTCCTATCCACATACAACTTTTGTATGTTGCAATTGTTTTTGATTTGGGGTGTGTTTCCTACCCACTGGCCCTGGGGCAGGGGTGGGTAAGTGTGTGGGTATTGAGAGGGTAGGAAGAAGAGTTGAATCAATCTATTATTTTCTATCTGCAGAATTCAACACTGGCTGTTATGTTTCAAGCCTAGCTCTTGATATATGTTACATGCAATAACTCAAATTTAACCAGTTGCCATTAAGTCAATTCCACATCATGGAAAACTCAAATTTAGAAATCACAAATATTCCAGTATAAATGTTGTTCTTAAATAATACCAAGTACAGTGAGCATGGTCTGTAATATGGCTTTTCATATGCCAAGGATCACCAACATCTGACCTCAGAACATGGTATAGTTGCCATACCTTCTCTTCCTCATACTTTTAAATGGAATAAAAGACTCATCTTGTTAGTCTCTTTAATTAACCCTCAAATTGGTGCATAGCTCTGATTCAGCCTCATCTGAATCACTATTTTCCTTTTTGCAGCCCAGTAACACAAGAACAATAAAGACTACTCTAACTGTTGAAAAAGAAAGATTTCATTTCAAGATTTAATTGAAACCAATACCAAGACTTCATGTCCATTTGGAAAACTTATCACTTTACACCTCTAATCACTACATGCACTATTGTGAAATGAAGAGATTAAGCCTAAAAAATTGTTTTTAAATTCCAATAGAAATAAAGCCATAGCTCTGTGTTTTCTTTCATTATTTGCCATTTAATCCAATACCATAGGTATTGTCAACAATTAACTGAGTACCTATGATCTCATCCAACTAAAACAAAACAAAACAAAACAAAAAGAAAAGCAAAGAGAGGTAATGAACATTCAGAATATTATAGGTAATAGAGAAGATGATTTTTTTCACAATAATTTCGTAAAGGCCTTGTATGAGCCAGCTGGTCTGTCCTTAAAAATAGTGTGCTTTCATCAAATTGACCTTTAGAGTAAATCTGGAGCTTCTGATATATTATAAAAATACACAGAAATGGCCACAGCTATTAAAAGAATTATAGCAAGAGTACACATTCCACACCATTAGAATCAGTAGACTATATTTATTATCATAGTATTTTACACATAACACACACACACACTCACACAGATATATGTTGCCATTGAGTCAATTCCAATTTGTGGTGGCCCCAAGTATCATAGAGTAGAACTGCTCCATAGGGTTTTCTTCATGATAATCTTTAGGAAAGCTGACTGCCAGACTTTTTTTCCATAGGGCATATGGGTGGGTTCAAACCACCAATCTTTAGATTAGAAGTCAAGTGAAAACTATTTGCACCACCCAGGGAACTAGTCTATACAGAATATCTGAGACCTCCAAATATAAGGGTGTTCAGATAAGAGAAATGTTAAGGTGACAAAGAGATAAGGCAGCAAATCTTCAAACCATGGAAAACTATATATATTCCAAGTCTATAACACAAGACCTTCAAGAAAACACTAATTTGAATCCCTTAAGTTGTTATTGATAATAAATATGTCTAGAGACAAAAACAGAAGGAAGGTTGGGCAATCTACTTCCATAGTGATACCGTCCGTCTCGGAAACCCAAGGAGGGGTTGCTATGAGTCGGGTCCGACTTCACAGCACATAACAACAATAAGAGAGACAAAAAAGGAGTTCTAGTGGTACAGCCTGTGGTTGGTGGTTTGAACTCACCCAGGGGCTCCACAGAAGGAAAGACCTAGCAATCTGCTCCTGTACAGATTGAACCCCAGGAAAACCTATGGGAGCAGTTCTAGTCTATGACGCAACTCAGTAGCACCTAACAACAACAGAGCCAAAAACCAAAACCTAAACATAACCTTTATAACCTTAGTTCATGTCTACTTGGACAGTATAAGCACTGAGGTTCTTAGTCTTTGGAATTGTGCTACTTGTTCTAAGGTTCTAGTGCTATTCTTCCCACACCCATCAAAAAATAGCAAAGAGCTGAAAACTAAGTGGATTACCTCCATCTTCATTTATCCAGTAAAGAAAAAGGTTCATAGTTCCAACTTCGGTTATCTGATTATCCTCTCCATAAAGCCACAGAACCTGCTGACACCCATTATCCATTGCTTCACATTGGGCAAAAATAGACGCGCCATAATTCCTTTAAAAAAAGAGCAAACATTTTCATTATAAATACACATCATTCTCTCTCTCCACCTCAGCCAACTTTTATACTTCTACAGTCTAAAATCCCCATGTCTTTAATTCACATGTGGATGTTGTCAATGTGTTATGATCTTAATATATATCCTCTCTAACTGCATAACATTAAAGAAAAACTCACTAGAGAAACTAACAGCTTTATCTAATTGCACTCATCTGAGAGCGTGCAAAGCAAAATCTTGGAATCTTAATTTGAAAAGTAGAGATACAAGAACACAGGTAAATATCTAAGTCAATGCTAACAGTTAGGAATTATTGAGTGTTTTTATTCATGCCTAGCAATTTTACATGAACTATTTCATGTAAACCTCACAATACTGTAAGTTAGTCACTATTACTTCCATTGTTTAAATGAGAAACTTGAGGCTTAGAGAAGTAACTTACATCAAATTGCTCATCGAGTTTGTGCCCTCTTAACTGTGGTCTTTTAACATATTCAAGAAATATCTAATGCCCAATCCCTAAATTCCACAAGTGATGGGGCAAAAATCCTGATTTTGCCCTAAAAAGTATTCCAAAAGTCCATTTTTCTCAACTTGTACCATTTATATCAGATACTCAAAAACCAAAGGAACATGACAGATCTTCCTAGAATGAAGAGTTAGTTTAGTAATAATTTTAGTATCTTTTATTTAAACTTAAAAGGGAAAATAATGGAGCTTATCACAAAATATGGATGAACTTTTAAAACATGAAATCCTCAAATAAATGTGATACCTGATTGCCTCCCTAAGCTTCTGAACGTACAGTTTACTTTCTTCTGTTTTTAGAGGACATTACTGAATAAGTCTGAAAAGTACATAATTAAAATAATCAGGATAGGAAATAAACCCGAGACCTACTCCTTGGGCTATACAGCCCCAGTAGTACATAGAAAGAAACAAACAGCTGCTATTACTACAAAGCATTAAATGTAATCATGTAATCTTCCATAAAATAACCTCTTAAGCCTTTTAAATCATCTCTTTTACATCTAGGAAAGATTAAAATGGAGCCCTAGTGGCAAAGCGGGTAAGCCCTCAGCTGCTAACTAAAATGTGTACAGTTCAAACTCACCAGTTGCTCCACAGGAGAAAGATGAGGCAGCCTACTTCTGTAAAAATTTACAGTTTTGGAAACCCTACGGGGCAGTTCTATTCTGTCCCACAGGGTCACTATGAGTCAGAATTGACATGACAGCAAAGAGAAAAATTTAAATGTGTTGTTGTTGTTGTTATGTGCCGTCGAGTCGGCCCCGACTCATAGCGACCCCTCCTTGGGTTTCCGAGGCAGTATCACTACGGAAGTAGGATT